AGCAAGACTCTCTCTCAAAAAAATAAAAAGAATTATTCAGGATATTAGTGAGAAATTCTCACAAACAATATGCATTTAGGAAACTATTTTGCTTCTTTAAATCGTTTGAAGTCTTGAAAAAAAAAAAGCTTTTTTTGGCATTTCTTTCAGAATGTTTGGTCATTGACAATTTTTGTTTGTTTTGAGACAGAGTCTTGCTCTGTTGCCCAGGCTGGAGTGCAATGCAACGATCTCAGTTCACTGCAACCTCTACCTCTCCGGTTCAAGCGATTCTCCTGCCTCAGCCTCCCCAGTAGCTGGGATTACAGGCATGTGCCACCACGCCCGGCTAATTTTTGTATTTTCAGTAGAGACAGGGTTTCACCATGTTTGCCAGGCTGGTCTTGAACTCGTGACCTCAGGTGATCGGCCTGTCTCAGCCTCCCAAAGTGCTGAGATGACAAGCTTGAGTCACCACACCCAGCCAGTCATTGACAATTTTTACCATTACCTTCCTCTTCTCCTTAGCCCTTAACAGACCCAGTTCATTCTATTTGGAAATAACAAGAACTTGATCGGATTATTAAATCTTGGAAACCATCTCATTTTTACCTTATAAAGTGTTAAGTTTCATGTTCATATTATCTTACAAATGTAGCATCAATGTTATGGGTAGATATAAGGAAATATTGGCATAATATAGGTAATTAGTGAAAATACACAACTTCACCAAACATAATAAAAGGTGAACATAAAACTATAACACTACTTTAAAAATATTTTCTCCCAAATTATTTTAGCATTTTTGACTATGAACACTGCCAAAAAATAGGTTCAAAGTAGCCTAGACAAACAGTTTCTTTTTCTGGAATCCATCTTGGCAGTGGCGATTTTCTCCCACGCTCATTCCCAAGTTAGGCGGATGTGTAGAAGTCCCTAGGCTTGGTATTGCTCAGGAGGTCATCTTCATTGTTGGGGAGGCAGTAGCAGAAGAAAGCACAGCTGATGAGGATAATCGTGGCTGCCCACCCATAGCCGTAGGGCCAGTTATAGATGTAAGTGACAGCAAGGGCTGGCCTGAAGGTTGAAGGTTTGGGTGTACTTCACGGGGTAAATTACCAGGGAGATGATCTGGAACACAGCAGCCAAGACAAAGAGACCTCCAATCACTCTTAGGAAGACAAGCATCTGGGGTACACACAGGATGAAGAAGAAGGAGAGGATGAAACAGATCACCAGGATGTTGAAGCCCCAGAAGAGCATGGCAGCCGCTGCTCTACCCAACGCGTACTCCATGAGGCTCTAGCAGCCATCCTCTTAGGACCCGCTGCCGTCGCTGCCCTCGTGGAAACATCTCCACCATAGCAAGGACGTCTGGACGTGGTCGCTTGACTGCCGCCTGCCGCGGCCGGCCAGGGCTATGATGTCAAAGGCGATGGCGCTGAGTAGGAGCAGGGTCAGGATCCAGCGGCAGCGCTCGCAGGCCAGGCTGCAGCGGATCACGTCGACCCGCGGTGTGGGGCCGGGCGGAGGAGCGCGCGGGCCCGGGCGGCGGCGGGGAGTCGCTCCTTGTTGTATTTTTAATATAGACAGGGTTTCACCATGTTGGCCAGGCTGGTCTCGAAATCCTGGCCTCAAGTGATCCACCCGCTTCAGCCTCCCAAAGTGTTGGGACTACAGGCGTAAGCCACCGTGCCCGGCGCAATATTATTCTTTTGTGCTTGTTTTAAAGTTGTACATATGCTTAGAAAAATGTTGGTAAGATAGTAACTCTTCAGCAGTGGGATTAGGGATGACTTTTGTTTTCATTTTGCTTGTCTTTTTCTTTAATGAGTATATATTACTTGTGTGACAGATGAAGTAAAGCAGGAAGAAGGGTAGCCATGGTATTTGAGAAAGAGCATTGGAGGTGTGTGTTTGATTTTTTTTTTTTTTTTTTGAGACGGAGTCTCGCGCTGTGTCACCCAGGCTGGAGTGCAGTGGCGCGATCTCGGCTCACTGCAAGCTCTGCCTCCCAGGTTCACGCCATTCTCCTGCCTCAGCCTCCGAGTAGCTGGGACTACAGGCGCCCGCCACCACGCCCGGCTAGTTTTTTGTATTTTTAGTAGAGACGGGGTTTCACCATGTTAGCCAGGATGGTCTCGATCTCCTGACCTCGTGATCCACCCGCCTCGGCCTCCCAAAGTGCTGGGATTACAGGCTTGAGCCACCGCGCCCGGCCGGAGGTGTGTGTTTGAGATGGAGTCTCACTGTCACCCAGGGTGAAGTGCAGTGGCACAATCTCGGCTTACTGCAACCTCTGCCTCCCGGGTTCAAGCAATTCTCCTGCCTCAGCCTTCCCAGTAGCTGGGATTACAGGCATCTGCCACCACACCCAGATAATTTTTGTATTTTTAGTAGAGATAGGGTTTTGCCATGTTGGCCAGGCTTGTCTCAAACTCCTGACCTCAGGTGATCTGCCTGTCTCACGTGGTGGCTCACGCTGTAATCTCAGCATTTTGGGAGGCCGAAGCGGGCAGATCACCTGAGCACAGGAGTTTGAGACCAGCCTGGCCAACATAGTGAAATCCTGACTCTACTAAAAATAAAAAATTAGGCTGGGCGCGGTGGCTCACGCCTGTAATCCCAGCACTTTGGGAGGCCGAGACAGGCGGATCACGAGGTCAGGAGATAGAGACCATCCTGGCCAACACGGCGAAACCCTGTCTCTACTAAAACTACAAAAAAAAAAAAAATTAGCCGGGCATGGTGGCGGGCACCTGTAGTCCCAGCTACACGGGAGGCTGAGGCAGGAGAATGGCGTGAACCCCGGGGGCAGAGCTTGCAGTGAGCTGAGATTGCGCCACTGCACTCCACACTGGGCAACAGAGCGAGACTCCGTCTCAAAAAAAAAAAAAAAATTAGCTGGGTGTGGTGGTGCATGCCTGTAGTCCCAGCTACTCAGGAGGCTAAGGAATGATAATAGTTTGAACCCAGGAGACAGAGGTTGCAGTCAGCTGAAATTGAGTCACTGCACTCCAGTGTGGATGACAGAGCGAGACCCTGTCTCCAAAGAAATAAAAATAAAGGTCGGGTGTGGTGGCTCATGCCTGTAATCCCAGTACTTTGGGAGGCCAAGGCAGGCAGATCACTTGAGGTCAGGAGTTTGAGACTAGCTTGGCCAACGTGGTGAAACCCTGTCTACTAAAAATATTTTAAAAAATTAGCTGGGCATGGTGGCACATGCCTGTAGTCCCAACTACTTGGGAGGCTGAGGCAGGAGAATTGCTTGAATCCGGGAGGCGGAGGTTGCAGTGAGCCGAGATTGAGCCACTGTACTCCAGTGTGGACAAGAGCGAGACCCTGTCTCAAAAGAAATAAAGGCCAGGTGTAGTGGCTCACACCTGTAATCCTAGCACTTTAGGAGGCTGAGGCAGGCAGATCACTTGAGGTCAGGAGTTTGAGAGCAGCCTGGCCAACGTGGTGAAACCCCATCTCTACTAAAAACACAAAAATTAGCTGGGCATGGTGGCAGATGCCTGTAATCCCAGCTACTTGGGAGGCTGAGGCAGGAGAATCAGTTGAATCTGGGAGGTGGAGGTTGCAGTGAGCTGAGATTTTGCCACTGCACTCCAGCCTGGGCGACAGAACTAGAGTCCATCTCAAAAACAAATTAAAAAATAAAGTTTTAAGAACAGGCTTTAGGTTTCTATAGCCCATTGGGAAAAGGGTATGGCATGATCAGATGATTTGCAGGAGTTACAAATGCAAATTTAAACAATCAAACAGCATCTAACACATCTTTAACAATTAAAAAATAAACACTATAATAAAACCATAAAAATATTGATAAGCTTCTACTATGAACTACATGATAGTGACAGGGGAATGAGAGCAAGGGTCCTATCTGCCCACTATTGTATTACCAGTGTCTGGATCGTAGAACTTTGCTTAGCATGTGATAGGGCTTTGCCATTTATACTGAGAACAGGTGATCAAGTTATCAATAATTGATAAAAGCAACAGTAATCAGTATTTTAATTTCTGTAAATGGACATTTGAAATAGCAATAAGATTCTAGAATGGCAATGACTGAGTTGGAATGTAGGTGTTTTCATTAATGTCCTACACGTATTTAAATTCTGAGTAGCCATTTTTGCTGGTAAATTGTGAAAGCAGGACACGGTTCTCCAAGGTTCACAGGTAAACCATCCCACCAGAGCACCAACGAGCAGACTGCTACATTTTATTTTGCTTGTAAGGAAAACCAATTGACTCAGCTGTCCCCAGATTTCTGGTTATAACAGATGTATTTCTAAAACAATCAGTAAATTAACAAAATTATGGCAGACAGTGCCATATCTCTGGAATTCCAAAAGCCCTGGATTAATGATGAGACCCGAGTTAAGTCCCAGCACTGCCACTTATTGGCAGCCATCTTAGAGTCTATTTCCTTATTTGTAAAAGGGACCTCTTAATCTGGGATTGCCTACATCATGGCGCCACTGTGGAAATCTGGTTAAGGAAACTGTATAATGAGACATAATTGAAGATTGATTGACTTTTATTTAGAGATGGGGGTCTCACTCTGTTACCCCAGGCTGGAGTGCAGTGGTGCAATCATAGCTCACTGCAGCCTCAACCTCCGAGGCTCAAGCAATCCTCCCACCTCGGCCTCCCAAGTCACTGGAACTGTAGGCACATTCTGCCATGCCCCACTCTTAATATAATTAACTTTAAAATGTGGTTGGAGATTATAAGGGCCCTAAAGCCTTTGCCTGCTTTGTATTTTCTGCCAACCCCTCATTTCCCAATCTTTGCCAGAACCCCAGCAACTAAGAGAAGGGCGTCCAGTTTTTGGTTGTCAGAATCCATCACTAAGCAGGATGCTCTGCATAGAGCCCTTTGCTGGGAAATTCCTCTGGTTCCATCTCTCTCCCAACGTTTACTGACCAAGGATCCTTCCTTTCTGCCTTTGTCCTTCCCTCACTCACAAAGGTTCACAGGTAAACCATCCTACCCCAGAGAGCACCAAAAAAACAGACTGCTACATTTTACTTTATTTTGCTTGTAAGGAAAACAATTGACTAAGTTGTCCCAAAAATGTTAGTGTTCACTGATCAAGAAGGAAATGAGGTCAGAAGGCAAACTTTTCACTTCCTCTCAAATATAAATTGCAAGTATCACAGAAAATTGTAACAACACATGCAACATGGCTGGTTTTCAACATACAGAGAGTCCAAGCAAGAAGAGTGAGTACTGAAGATCAACAGAGGTCAGATTGGGGGCACTACTACAGGAAGTCTGAAATCTATCCACGCAGTTTTTCCCTCCCACAGTCCAGGCTCAACACTTCTTCCTATTCCAAGGTGGCTTCTCCATATGTAGGAATCCAGGCTGTTCCATATATATTCCTTGCCCAGCTGTGTTTCACAAGGCATCTCCACAAGCCAAGCCCCGACTCAAATTCTGTACAGGAAGTTCCCGTTGCTGTCAAAGAACTCTTGACCCCTCTGCACTACTTCGCTGCTGAAGTTACCCGGCTCCTCTGCCTTCAACTCCTCCAGCTTCTGATCACTTGGCAATGCACCACTGCCAGTTCTTCTGGTGCTCTCAGAATCACTGGAGTACTTCTGTAGCTCTCTTGGATGACCTAGGGGTACAGCAACAGGCACAAAGCTCTCCTCCAGGTGCTGGATTTCTTTATTTCTTCCCTTCCATCTCCTTGGTGTATTTGTCCTGTGAGTGTCTGACTCTATCACTTTCAAAGCTGTGCTGTGATTCGCATCTTTGGATAAGGCTTCATGCCCCGACATAAGCAAAGAACCTGATACAGAGTGGCCTGCAGGGAGCAGCTTTGAGGTATTTCCAGCGCCCCGGAGCTGCTGGAGAGAGTGGGCAAGCCCAGCTTTCTTAAGGACTTTTTGATCCTGCTTCAGCTTCTGCTCCAACGTGGGTACAAACTTGCTTCTTAAAACTCTTCGGATCACATCAGTGCTGACATTAAAGCCTTCAGCCAACCTGGGAACTGACCAGGACTCTGGAAATTCCTCACGTAAATACCTATGGGAAGAAGGAGCAGGTTTGCAAGTTGTAAAGAAGGCTCCTATCACAACATCTAACTTGCAATACGTATTATAAAGAAGAGGGGTTGAGGCCTGGCATGGTGGCTCACACCTGTAATCCCAGAACTTTGAGAGGCCGAGATAGGTGATTCACTTGAGCCCAGGAGTTCGAGACCAGCCTGGCCAATGTGGTGAAACCCAATCTCTACTAAAAATACAAAAATTAGCTAAGTGTGGTGGCTCATGCCTGTAATCTCAGCTACTTGGGAGACTGAGGCACAAGAATCGCTTCAACCTGGGAAGTGAAGATTGTAGTGAGGCGAGATTGTGCCACTGCACTCCAGCCTGGGCAACAGAGTGAGAATCTCTCAAAAAAACAAAAAAACAGGGCTTGAAAAACCGCAAATGTAGTCCCTATCTTGTGCTAGCTAAATGGCTGTGTTCCATTCCTTTGTGTCAAGAGCAACACCTGACCACTGTCAGTCAGGTCACTTCATTTCATATCAACTCAGCTCCTCTCACTGACATCTAATACCACATTAGGTCCTGGGGATGCAGAACTGACCTTCCCTTTACATAGTTTGGGAGTGGGGACAGACACAATGAATGACATTATGGTAAAGGTTATAGCACAGGATGCAAAGACAGCACCCCAGGAGGGAGACTCAGATATAGGGAATAAGAACACTTACAGCCAGGCCCAGGAATTGCTTCATGAAGTCCAAGCTAGAGTTGGTCTGAAAGGATGAAAGGAGTAATAAGCTGACAGAAGGGAGGAGAGAAGGAGATATGAAAGGTAATGATGATAAAGTGAACACTTGTGAAATGCAAAGTAGCACATCACCTTTGTTGGGAATAGCTCAACTGACAGTGAGGTAAGAGGTAGATCACACTTAGGGGTCTGGAGTTTATCGCAAGGCAAGAGCAAGTCAAGGAAAAATTTTAAGCAGTGGAATGCCATGGATAAATTTTCATTTTGAAGTTCGACCTACAGCCTGGCACAGTGGCTCACTCCCAGCACTTTGAGAGGCTGACGCAGGGGGATTGCTTGAGCCCAGGAGTTCGAGACCAGCCTGGGAAACACACTGAGATCCCATCTCTATTAAAAAAAGAAAAAAAGGAGTTCAACCTAGTGGTAGTTTTTCAGTGACAAAAATATAGGCAGAAAGATTGGTCAAGAGACTGTTACAGTAATCCAGACAGTCTCAAGTGAGATAGTCAATGGAGCATAGGAGGAAAGTGAGTTGAGAAATATTTTAGAAAAGTCAAATAGTACAACTTGGTACTAAGGGACTAAACATTGGGGGAAGAAGCATCAAGGTCAAGATTCAGGATTTTAGCTTGGGTAATTAATTAGCAGGTTATAGGAAAAACAGGAACAGAATGAAGTTGTCAGGGAACAACAATGAATTGTATTTTGTACATGTTGAGTTTGAGGAAACGGTGATATCCAAAACAGAGATGTCTGGTACACAGTTGAATATATGCCTTTAGAGTTCAGGAAAAAAAACATGAACTGGAGATGACAGATTTGGAAGTCATAAGCCAATAGCAGGGGTGACTGAGTGGCTAGCATCAGGCAGGGAAATATGCAGAGTGAGCTAAAATGACAAGGACACAACTCTAAGAAATAACAAGATTTAAGATATAGGAAGTAGAAGAGGAGCCTAGGAAGTTAACTGAGAAAAGCAGCCCTAGAAACAAAGAAACAAACAAACAAAAAAAAAATCAGAAGGGAATGGTACCCTGGAGTCAAGGGAGAAGAGAATTTTAAGAAAGCAGTTCACCATGGCACATGTACACCTATGTAACAAACCTGTACATTCTGCACATGTACCCCAGAACTTAAAGTAAAATTAAAAAAATTAAAATAAAGGCTGTACCGTATGGTGGCTCACACCCGCCTGTAATCCTAGCACTTTGGGAGGCTGAGGCAGGCAGATCACTTGAGGTCAGGAGTTCAAGACCAGCCTGGTCAACATGGTGAAACCCCATCTCTACTAAAAATACAAAAAGAAAAAAAAAAAGAAAAAGAAAAAAATTAGCTGGGCATAGTGCTGTGCACTTGTAATTTCATCTACTCAGAAGGCTAAGGCACGAGAATCGCTTGAACCCAGGAGGCAGAGGTTGCAGTGAGCCAAGATCATGCCACTGCACTCCAACCTGGCGACAGAGTGAGACTCCGGCTCAAACAAACAAACAAACAAAAAAACGAAAAGAGAATCAGTGGCAATAAATAAATAAATAAAGAGAGAGAGAGAAAAGAAAGCAGTTTCAGTTGGGTGCAGTAGCTCACACCTGTAATCCTAACACTTTGGGAGGCCAAGGCAGGCAGATCGCTTGAGCTCAGGAGTTGGAGACCAGGTTGGGCAACATGGCAAAATCCTGTCTTTATTTAATTTTTTTTTTTTTTTTTAAATTTAAAAGGCAGTCTTTACAAGGGCAAATGCTGCTGAATTATTAACGAGGCTAAAGACTACAAAGTGTCATTTGAGCCTAGCACTGAGGAAGTCACTGATGGATTTAAGGAGAGCAGTTTTATTGCAGTGATACAAACAAAAAACCAAGGGTAGGTACCCTGGGAACCAGCTGGGAATAAAAGAATGAGAGAGAGCTTTAGGTTGAGGACAGAGGTCCCTGAGTCAGCAGGGAGAAATATGACCTAAAGCATACAGAGAATTGGTCCCAGACAAGTGAAGGGCTCCCATTTCCTCTGAAATGAGAGTAGAGCATAAGTTTGAGAGTAGTGGGCAAAGAGGAAGACCAGGAAGCTCAAAGTTCTTACTTATTGGACTGTTTTTTTCTCTTAAAAGGACATTTATTGACCACAAAAAAGGGAGATAAGTACGAAGGTGGAAGGTTTGAAAAAGCTATTGTTGAAGACAGGAGACAGAGGCCGGCATGGTGGCTCATGCCTGTAATCCCAGCACTTTGGGAGGCCGAGGTGGGTGGATCACCTGAGGTCAGGAGTTTGAGACCAGCCTGGCCAACATGGTGAAACCCCATCTCTACTAAAAATACAAAAATTAGCCAGGTGTGGTGGTGCACACCTGTAATCCCAGCTACTCCGGAGGCTGAGGCCCAAGATCTCTTGAACCCAGAGGCAGAGGCTGCAGTGAGCTGAGATTTTACCACTGCACTCTGGCCTGGGAAACAGAGTGAGACTGTCTCAAACAAAAAACAAACAAAAAAAAGAGAGGAAATTAGACCTGACTGAGGACCCAGAAGGTGCTACAGGCTCACAAAATCTTGACCAGCTCTACAGAATCCCCTTTATTTTAAATTTCAATTCCAGAGTCATTCTGATGGAAATGAAAAATAGTACGTAAGTACTATTTATGTACTAAGTATGTATTATGCATTAGTATTATGTATTAATATGCTAAGTAGGGCTACTTAGCAATATTTATCAAAATGCAAACGCATTTGTCTTTTGACCTGGCAACCTTACTTCTGGGAATGTATATAACAAATACTCCTGGCAGGTATGTAGAATGATACATATACATAGTTATTCACTGGAGCACTATTAGTGAGCAACAGAAATGAAAACAACCCAACTAAATGCCCATAAGAAAAGACAGGTTAAATAATGCATTCTGGCCAGGCGTGGTGGCTCACGCCTCTAATCCCAGCACTTTGGGAGGCCGAGATGGGAAGATCAGTTGAGGCCAGAAGTTTGAGACCAGCCTGGTCATCATGGTGAGACCCCCATCTCTGTCAAATAAATAAATAGATAGGAGAAAAAATTGTTTAAATAAAAATTAAAAACCACTGTCATATACTGCCTCAAAAAAATATAATAACACCATCTATAAAAAAGAATTGAGGGCCAGGCGCAGTGGCTCGCTCAGGGCATGGAGCCTGGTTTTTGGTAGAGAAAAACTATTAAAAATAGTACAGCTGCAAACAGTGGCTCACGCCTGTAATCCCAACACTTCAGAAGGCTGAGGTGGGACGATCGCTTGAGCCCTGGAATTGTAGACTAGCATGGGCAACATGATGAGACTGTCTCTACAAAAAATAAACAAAATTAACTAGGCATGGTGGCATGCACCTGTAGTCCCAGCTACTTGGGAGGCCGAAGTGGGAGGATTGCTTGGGCCCAGGAGGTAGAGGGTGCAGTGACCTGTGATCACACCATTGTACTCCAACTTTGGCGACAGAGTGAGACCCCCATTTACCAAAAAAAAAAAAAAGTACCCACAGGAGAGTGGGTGGGACAAATAATTCTCAATGCGTAAACCATGTTATACTGTTAGGATGTTGAGCCATATGTAACACTTTACCTACTCAAAACAAAAAAAACTTAAAATCTCTTTTAAGCTTTTCGTAAATTACAGATCCTCTCTTCAGAAAAATGCACCTAACTATGGAAGCACCAGCATCCCTGTACCTTAGGTTGGGAACGTCATGATCTACATGCAGGGGTTAAATGTTGTGATGTCTGCAATTTACTATTTAAAAATTTCAGCAAAAATGAAACAACCACTACTAAAACCAGGCGGGGCGCAGTGGCTCATGCCTGTAATCCCAGCACTCTGGGAGGCCGAGGCGGGCAAATCACTTCAGGTCAGGAGTTCGAGGTGATTGCGGAAACCACGTGTCTTTAAAAAACAAAACAATACACTATTAAATCCAGATGATGACAGGTTTAGGAAAGTTCGTTATATTACTCTACTTTTCTGATAATAAATTTCAATGATAAAAAGTAAATAAAAATATAAAAGCAGTATCAAAAAAGCCAAACCCGTGCTCTGGGCTCCAGTATCCTTCATTTCTTGTCACAGCAGATACAAACAAGGTACCCTGAGTCTTACCGGATCTGCTCCATGGCTTCCCGAGTCAGGGTTCTGGGCGGGGCACCAGGCGCCTCCATTTGCCTCCGAATTTTCTGGAATCGGATTGCTTTTTTCTGTCCTTTCAGGGTGCTGGGGGAAGAGAATCAATGGCAGAAGCCATGCGTGGAAGCAGAATGGATGTTTGAAGAGCCTCAGGCTAAATCATGGAGCGCCCAGCCCTCTTCTCTTTGACCGCAAGGGCAACCGGGCCGTGTTGCCGGCTTAGAGCTGCTCTGTACACCCAGAAAGCTAACATCTAGAACAATAACTGCCTGTAAGCATGCCGAACTCTCTAAACTAATGATGAAATACGTCGCTAATGAAGGGACCAATGGTCCCTGGGGAGCTGAACACCTCACGCTGCGCGACCAACAACGGGTAAAAGGAAACAAGGGCCGCCGCGCAAGCAGCGGCAGGACACCCGGCGCCAAGGGGGCGCGGCCTGGGGCGCCGGGGCGCGAGGCCCAGCTTCAAGCTGAGGGCCCGAGGAGAAGCCGGTACCTCTCCACCTCCTGCAGCTCCCGTTCCTCCGGCTCCCAGTCGGAATCGGGGTCCGGCTCCCGGCCGATAGGGCCTGGGCCCGCCACCCCCCGGGTCGCGAACCCACAGCGAGCGACGGCAGCGCAAACGCGCCCCCCCAGCAAGACACTCAGGGAAACCGCCATGTCGACGCAAACCAGCCTTCAGCAGTCTGCTACGAAACAGCAGCGGAAGTAGCCGGGTAAGGCCGGAAGTGGAAGGGGCGGGCCGGAAGCTGGGTAGTAGCAAGCATTTCCCTCTTCATTTGGTGGCCGTGAGATCTGGTCTCACGCTGCTCAGTGGCCCACCCTTTCTGGCTGTAGCTGTGGAGAGGGCTTGGCTGAAACGTGAGGGCCGAAATGAGGTACAGGACGCTCCTGGAAAACTGCATAAATTTTAATTAAAGTACGGATTCAGTTTCCAAGAGCCGTCCCTCCGCCCCAGCGGCTCCCCAGGCCTGCCTGTCTCCGCCACCTTGGTGGGCAGGGCTTCCGCTCGGCAGTCTTCTGACGGCGACAGCCCAGTGCCTTGGGCACTCGGCTTCTCTGGGAAAGGGGCTCTTTGTCTCCTGGATGACCTCCAGCCCCGGGCCGCACCTAGGGTTCAGACCCATCACCTAGCGATAAACCCAGGCTAAGGCTTGATAAGCAGAAATGAGTACATGGCTGGCCTTGGCGCCTCTTCATCTTCTAGTCTTTACTGATCCCCAGTTAATCTTAGGTTATTGAGGAATTCTTGGTGTCTTTGTATTTTGCCTTTTACAAATGGGGTTCCTGGGCAGGGCTTTTCAAAGAGGAACTTGGTGGCAGTCTTTCATTTAGCAAAGATTGAATGCCCTTTGGAAACCCTTTGGAAACCTGGGGAGGTTCTCCAGGAGAGGTAGAGTGCTTCCCTCCTGCTTTTACCTGAACTGATTGATGTTGAGGAGTGCTCTGGAACGCTGCAGCACGGGTGCAGACGCAGGGCAGAGGGAAACCTTGGCTGTTCTGTGTTCAGAGTTTACCATGGAGGGCAAGGTGCATTCAGTCCATGAGTCAGATGCCACTCTTTCCGGTTGCAGAAGATAGCCCTGCTTTGGGGTTAAAGTGGGTGGCACTGATCCTGCCAGGACTCGGTTTATGGCTTCTAGCCTTCTGCTGGCTTGTCCTTCTGCAGTGGAAACATGGATGTCCCTGAGTTGGTACTCACAGAAGAGATTGACTCACCTCTTTCCCAGCTGTGGCCCAATTACCAACACAGAGGAAGGGCATCCCATGCTTCCCAATCCACTGTCTTTCCCACACTGTATTGTAATTGGTATGGTATGTCTTCTTGTCCATGTTCCTATTACCTCTGTTGAGTGCTAGGACTGTATTTCTGCCATTTCTATCACCAGGGTCTAGTGTACAGAAAGGATTAAATAGTCCTGGTGCGGTGGCTCACACCTGTAATCCTAGCACTTTGGGAAGCTGAGTCTGGTGGATCACCTGAGCTCAGGAGTTCAAGACTAGCCTGGGCTAAATGGCAAAAACAAAAAATATAAAAGTCAGGCATGGTGGTGTGTGCCTGTAGTCCCAGCTACTCGGGAGGCTGAGGCAGGAGAATTACTTGAGCCTGTCAGTGGAGGTTGCAGTGAGGTGAGATCAAGCCATTGTACTTCAGCCTGGGGGACAGAGCGTGACCTTGTCTCAGAAAAAAAAAACAAAAGAAAAGAAAACAAAAAAGAAAGGAGTAAATAAATGGGTACCCTAACTTCCCCATTCTTACACCGGTGGAAGTGCCTTATATTTTGGGGGCATCCAAGCTCTATACTTGCTAGTGGGATTTACACAGGTCAAAATGACCAAAGATAGTTTTGCATACTTACGGCTAGTCAGCCTGATTCTGTCACTGGAAAAATAGCGCCTCCCAGCCTTCTTCATTGACAATGAACAGGAGTTGATGGCTGCCGGCTCTCCTGTCCAGGTGAAGTTCTTGGGCTGCAGATGGCACCGGGGAACATGTGGGATTGCAGCATTCATGCTTGACAGTGCCCCTAAGATCCTGGGGATCGATTTATGGGGCAGAACTGGATGCAGCAAATGAGGAGGGCCCTGCTCTGTGGCAGCCCCTCTTAGGAGCACAAATAGAACCAGACTCCCAGGTTTCAGTTTTTGACTGCCTAGCCTGTCCTAACGAAATCTAGGCTAGAGGAGAAGAGCAGCCCCTTACCACATTTTTATGTGAGTTTGGATGGAGCGTTGGACGAAGGAGGTAACTGAAAAAAAATCTAGGCCATGGCCACTATTTAACCAGATACTCCTTTGAGGTTCAACAAAAACAGTAAACCCAACAGGTTTGCTACTAGCCCAGGGAATAGTGAAAGCAGCAGCTCTTTTGTTGGCCCAAATCTGTTTACTTATCTCCCATTAGAGTCAGGGCACTGACAGTGCTAGGGAGAAAATTATACAGAAGCCACTGAGGGTGGTGGCCTTGTTATTTGTCAGTCATGAGTGTGGGGTTATTTGGGGACAGGAATATAGAGAGCAGGTTTCCTGTAAATGAGAAAGTTTGGAGCTGCACTTTGCTGGATGTCATATCTAAAACAAAGGAGCTTGGGAACACACGTAAAAGGAATCAACAGACCCTCTCCCAAGGTCCAGCTAGTGCACTCTGCTTTCCCAGGCTCCACTGACAGATACCATCACACAAGCCTCCTTTGTTGAGACCACCACCATGTGTTGGGACGACAGCCCTTGTTCCCTTTTCCTCTGGGAGGCTTCACAGGGACCCTCACCCGACTCTCATGAAGTTTTTTCTGGCCCTGGGGGCCAGGGTGCTGCAGACGGGTGAGCTGCTCTACAATACCCAAGCTTCGGATGAGAGTCTCCCTTTGTAGCAGGGCCTTCATCCGCTCCAGCTCCTCCTCTTCCACAATTTGTTGAGGCCTCATGGTGTCCAGCTGTCCTGGCAGCAGCTACAAGGTACATGAGAGATAAATGCAGGATCTCCAAGGATGAGTCCCAAACCATCGCCCAGGATGGCTGCAGGCCTCCTGCCCACTCTACCCTCATCCCTTCCCTGACCCAGGACAGTTCCTTTTGCTGTCCATTCTCTCACTTCATCTTCCAAAGGATCAGATTCAATTTACTGATTAGGAACTCCTCTCTCTCTTGTGCATGGGAGGAGAGGACAGCAGAGATTCATTCCCCTCTCTAGTTGTCCCAACCCATTTTCCCGCAGAAAGATAAGAGCCACAAAACCCCTGGCACCTCTTTCTCCCAGCTGTGGTTCCTGTAAGCCAAGCGGGTGGAATGGCTCCGGAGCCCTGCCCTGGGTTGGCTTTTCTCCCCAGCTGATTCACCCTGGTTCTGGTCCTTGGCCTTTTGCCTCTTACTGCCCAAGGTCTCCTGCTGTTCCTGCTTAAGGCGGATCTCCTCCAGTTGCTGCCTGACAAGACACAGCAGCTTCAGACACTAGAGAAATGGTGTTGGGGAGAAGAGGGGTGAGGAAAAATGGGGATGGGGAAAGAGTAGGAAATTATAATCTGTTCTTAGGACTGATGGGAGAGCAATGACGGGGGAAGACAGGAAACCTACTAAACTGAAAAGAGTCACTAAGAGTCTGATAGGATTTATAGCTCCATTCCTCTGCTCAAGTGTCTGACTTCCTCTTCCCCTGCTGGGAAGCAATGCAGCTTCAGGACTTGCCCCACCTAGGTGTGCAGAGGAGAATGTCGGTCAAAGTACCTGGCACACTCCTCTCTGGCCTTGGAAGCAGCAGTCTCCTGGAAGAGGGAGCCATTGTGCTTGAAGAAGTGGGCATACTTCTCTGTGTCAGGCCCAGGGTAGATCCGCCGGTATTTTCCCAGGTGAGAATCCTCATATCGTTCCTGGTCCAGCATTGCCACATGGGATGACTCAGTTTTTTCTTTCCTGTGGAAAGCAAGCTCAAGTGAGTCAGAGGAGAGCTGTAGGAATGTTCAGTAGGGAAAGGAAGACTGACTAAGGTTTGGAGCCCTTCCTGCTGGGTTCTTGACCTCCTGGGCCCGTGCCCAAGTAGGGAAAGCTGCCAAGCCCATCTTTGGCAAGCCCCAAATGTGGGTAGCCATGAAAATAGGCTTGGGCTGGGCGCAGTGGCTCACGCCTGTAATCCCAGCACTTTGGGAGGCCGAGACGGGCAGATCACGAGGTCAGGAGATCGAGACTATCCTGGCTAACATGATGAAACCCCGTCTCTACTAAAAATACAAAAAATTAGCCAGGCGTGGTGGTGGGTGCCTGTGGTCCCAGCTACTCGGGAGGCTGAGGCAGGAGAATGGCGTGAACCCAGGAGGCGGAGCTTGCAGTGAGCCGAGATCATGCCACCTCACTCCAGCCTGGGCGACAGAGCGAGACCCCGTCTCAAAAAAAAAAAAAAAAAAAAAAAAGAAAAAAAAAAAGAAAATAGTCTTGACTTCCAGAAATCTGATTTGCTTTTCTTTTCTTTTTTGAGACAGGTTCTTGCACTGTTGCCCAGGCTGGAGTACACTGGCACAATCTCCTCTCACTGCAACCTCTGCCTCCTAGGTTTAAGCAGTTCTCCTGCCTCAGCCTCCCAAGTAGCTGGGATTACAGGCATGCACCACCATGCCTGGCCAATTTTTGTATTTTTAGTAGAGACAGGGTTTCACCATGTTGGCAAGGCTGGACATCAAGTGATCCACCCACCTTGGCCTCCCAAAGTGCTGGGATTATAGGCGTCAGCCACTGTACTCGGCCTGATTTTCATCTTAAGTGGAGAGGGGTGTACTCGTAAGCCAGCACTCCATTATCATAGTCTTTTAGGTTTCTGATTGTAAAAGTAACATATGTTTTGATATAAGTTTTCCATTTGGAAAAAAAAAAAAAGTGGCCAGGCATGGTGGCTCACACCTGTAATTCCAGCACTTTGGGAGGCCAAGGCAGGTGGATCACTTGAAGTTGAGAATTCGAGACCAGCCTGGTCAACATAGTGAAACACTGTTTCTACTAAAAATACAAAAATTATCTGGGCATGGTGGTGTGTGCCTGTAGTCCCAGTTACTTGGGAGGCTGAGGCAGGAAAATTTTTTGAACCCAGGAGGTGGAAGTTGCAGTGAGCCAAGATCGCGGCACTGCACTCCAGCCTAGATGACAGAGTGAGACTAGTCTCAAAAAAAAAAAAAGAAAAGAAAAAGAAAAAAGTAATATATGTTCATTACAGAACATTTAAAAGAGCAGAAAGAAGATAAAGTCTCCCATAATCTTACTATGCAATTAGCCTGTTGATTATGAGCATGGATCTAAGGCAGGACCTCCTGACTTTGAATCCTGGCTCTGCCACTCACTAGCTTGTGTGTCCGTCCGTCCGTCCGTCCATCCGTCCTTCCTTTTTTTTTGAGACAGAGTCTTGCTCTGTTGTCCAGGCTGGAGTGCAGTGGCACAGTCTCAGCTCACTGCAACCTCCGCTTCCTGGGTTCAAGCAATTCTTCTGCCTCAGCCTCCCGAGTAGCTGGTACTACAGGCATACACCACCACGCCCAGCTAATTTTTGTATTTTTAGTAGAGATGGGGTTTCACCATTTTGGCCAGGATGGTCTCGATCTCTTGACCTCCTGATTTGCCTGCCTTGGCCTCCCAAAGGGCTGAGATTACAGGTGTGAGTCACTGCGCCTGACTGCTTGCTTGCTTTCTTTAAATGAAAATGAAATAATACAACAATATTTTTATTTTATTTTTTAATTTAATTTTTTGAAACAAGGTCTCACTCTGTCGCCCAGGCTGGAGTGCAGTGATGCAGTCTCAGTTCACTATAACCTCTGCCTCCCAGGCTCAAGCCATCCTCTCACCTCAGCCTCCTGAGCAGCTGGGACCACAGGCGTGCACCACCATGTCTGGCTAATTTTTGTATGTTTTGTAGAGACAGGGTTTTGCATGTTGCCCAGGCTGGTCTCAAACTCGTGAGCTCAAGTGATCCACCCGCCTCGGCTTCCCAAAGTGCTGGGATTACAGGCATGAGCCACCACACCTGACCACAACAATATTTTTAAATGGCTGCCTAGTACTCCAGTGTACGATTGTATTTTGTTTATTTAGTCCAGTACTGTTCAACCATTTTTCCTTATTGAAAGACACATTTCATGACCCTCAGGTACACAGTCCAGTCTTGTGGGAATAGCCAGTATATTTACAGTTCTACTTCACTCCCATTCATCACGCAGACATCTGAGTGCTTACGGTGTCCCAGGCCCTGTGGCTCTCATGGGGAGTCAAACACACACTGCCCCCTGCATATTGGAATGCAAGTGGGAACAGCAATGTGATCATAGTGGTAACATACATATACTCAAATTCATTTGTACGTATCATTAACAAATTACAATTTTAGTATTGGTAACCAGTTACCATGTTTGTAACTCATTTTACAAAGAAAACAACAATGGGTAACCAACACAGATGTAAATGATTCTCTATTATTGAATGACTAAACTGTTTTCTGTGTTTCTTTGTTACAAAGTTTCTCAGGAACTGGTTTCTAGGAGCTTTGTTAGAAAAACAAACCAGCTAATCAAACCACAGAAAGCTCCTTATGTGCTAACATGAGAATGGTTCTAAAATACATTGCTAACCGGGGTGCAGACAGTGTGAAAGTCATGCCTCTGTCTGGGTAGGCAGGGAGAAAAATATTTTGTATAAATACATATACATTAAATGCTTACTATATACACATGATAGTAGGAATGTTGATTGGCTCCAGAGAGTAAAACTGAGTACCTGGAGGAGAAGGGGTGGAGAAAGACTATCCCCTGTATTTTTAAAATTTTGAACATATCTATGATACATGAATTTTTTTTTTTTTTTTTTTTGAGACCAGGTCTCACTGTGTCACCCAGGCTGGAGTGCAGTGGTGCAAACACGGCTCACTGCAGTCTTGACCTCCTGGGCTCAAGTAATTCTTCTACCTCAGACTCCTGAGTAGCTGGGAATACAGGCACGCCACCATGCCCAGCTAATTTTTTTATTTTTAAATTATTATTATTTTGTTTCTTTTTTGTGTTTTAGGTACAGAGTCTCACATGTTGCCCAGTCTGGTCTTGAACTCCAGGGCTCAAGCAATCCTCCTGCCTCGGCCTCCCAAAATGCTGAAATTACAGATATGAGCCACCAAGCCTGGCCCTGTGATTTTTTTAATGCAAATATGAACATATTATCTATGCAAAAAGTTGTTTTTGATAGCAAATCAGCCCCAGGCCACATTCTCCATCTAAAGGAGGACTTTTAGTCTCAGGAATAATGAAGAATTAAACACATGCCAGACACCTAGCACACCTCGATTCTCGTGGCTGTTGGTAGCACTGGAAAAGCCGTTCCTTGATTCGCCGCTTATCCTCCTCCATCACCTTCCTTTTGTCACAGCCCCGGAGGTTGACAAGGGTTATAGCATCACAGAGAAGTGCATCCTTTACCTCTTGATCAAGGCGTGAGTCAGTGGTAAAGCTTGGAGAATGGTTTACCTGCCAGGAAGAGTCATTATACACCCCTTTCCCCGACCACCTGGGCAGGTGGTGGCCTCTTGCAGGCATAACTAGAGGGTCTGAGATATTCCTCTCCCATGGCCTCAGCCAGGGAGGCTGGATGCTCTGGCTTCCAAGGCCACAAAACTCTGCCTTAGATATCTCCAATTCACAGACCAGTGAGAGCAAATCAGCTGGCCTGCCTCTCTAGATAGTGTGTCCCTAAAAACTTACATTAGGGCACTGGGGATCCCAAACCTGCATTCCTATGGTAGAGGCCAAAAACCACCAAGATTTGACTCAGCAGGTCAAAAGGGTAGAGATCTTATGCCTTCTGCTGATTCCCACCCACCCCAGGGCTTTCACCTCTCCCATTCTGTGTTCCACCACCGGAGTATACCCCTGTCTCAGGTGTCCTATTCAAGGAGGCCTCTGGATCTTGGTTTTGCAAAGCCTAGGAGATAATCCTCACCTCTAGCAGCCAGGGCTTCAACTTGTGGTCCAGCAAGATGTCAAAACCAAGGATCTCAAAACAGGCACATGTACCTCCATTCAGATACTGGGGAAAACAGGTTCGGTAGTTGTGGCGTAGAACAGAATGGGCTGAGATGATGGTTTTGATGATGATGTCCTCGATGTCCCCCCACAGCTCTCCAGGGTTGTAGCTGTGCTCTTGCAGCCAGATGTTGAGTGTCGACAGCTTCCTGCGAGGCCCAGTACTCAGAGGAAGGCCAGTTTCTAGGCCACTGGGGCCAGGCTGTAGGCAGGAGGCTCCCTCACACTAACCCTAATTGCATGCCTGGGCTTTGAAGGGCTGCTAGCAGTTTGGAGCAGGGACTAGTTACCAGGGTGGGGTTTGGGGCTGCACTTAGAGCTCCAAAGTGCAGGCACAGGACAGGGTCTATAAAGGCTGAGTTTCCCTGGGCAATTAGCCTCCCAAGAGCCAGCTCGGTTTCATGGGCTACTGGGACTATGGGGCTAAGCGGCAGAGAAAGCAGGAGAAAACAGAGTAGCGAGTACCTCTTACTGCCCACAGCACCATCCCGGACAAAATTCTCATTGTGTTTGTTGATAGCATAGTTGGTCAGGTGCATGCAGACATTGTCCTGTGGAGAGAGAGTGGCCCTGTGGTCTCAGACTGCATGTGGCCGTCCTCTCCAGTCCTTCATTGCCTTCTTACTCCCCACCCCTCCCAAGGATCTCTTGTCTCCTGTCTCTCTCCACCAGAGGACTGCTATTCTGGACGATCCTGGGGCAGAGGGTGTGCTGGGCTCCTCCAGGTGCTGACCTTTTCTCATTTACCACCTACCAAACACTTGCCTCCCAGCTAGATACTGCAGCTCTTGCTGACTTCATTCCTTGTTCTTTGGTGACAGTGACAAACCTCTCTACCATGTTTCTCTAGAGAACCTCAGCACTCATGGTAGTGGAAAAGAAGAGTGCTTCCCAGTCCCCTTACCAGGTTGTTATGGCTGGGCTCCACATAGGGCGTGGTGGCAAAACGGGCCAGGCCCTCCTCATACATGAAGATCCGGAGAGGGTCACAGGATGTGATCAGGACGTAGATTCGCATATCAAACTTGAAGCCATCAATGAGGAAGGGCTGGTAGCACGCAAACCCATGAGGGAATAATAACACGTTTGAAGTGCCTACTATGAGCTGTTGTAAGTGCTTCACATACATAGCTCATTAAATTTCCACAATAACCATGTAAAGTAGTTACTGTTATTACTCCCACTTAATAAATGAGGAGAGGCCAGGCGCGGTGGCTCATGCCTATAATCCCAACACTTTGAGAGGCTGAGGAGGGTGGATCACGGGGTGAGGAGTTCAAGACCAGCCTGGCCAAGATGGTGAAACCCCATGTCTACTAAAAATACAAAAATTAGCTGGGCATGGTGGTAGGTGCCTGTAATCCCAGCTACTCGGGAGGCTGAGGCAGAGAATTGCTTGAACCTGGGAGGTGGAGGTTGCAGTGAGCCGAGATCGTGCCACAGCACTCCAGCCTGGGCAACACAGCGAGACTCTGTCTCAATCAATCAATAAAGAGACAGAGGCACAGAGAGGGTAAGAAACTTGCCCAAGGTCACATATCTGGGAAGTGGAAAGCTGAGATTCAACCCCAGGCAGGCTGGTTCTGAACCATGGCTGGATACTGCTTCTAGGAAAATGGGGCTAGTGGGAAGGGTAGAAGCCTAAGACCAGCTTCCTTCCTGGCTTTTGGGAGAGACGAGGCAGCCCAGTGCTTAGTGTTGGGGAAGGCTGATGGTCCTGAGGCATCTTTCACCTTGGAGATGTATTGCTGGCAGATCATATGCTCTCCTGGCTTGATCTCCCGGGGATTTCGGGTAATGAAGATGCCACGTCCCTGACAGCCACTGTCTGGCTTGCAGATATACGTGCGGGCTTTTCGCTGACGACCATAGGACTGGAAGTCCCCGTAGCTATGTGTAGAGAAGGCCTGGTCAAAAGGTTTCTGTGTATCATGGCTTTCCCACGGCCCCATGGAGCTCTTCCTGCTATCTAGTCCATGCTCTTCCTGGAACACTCAGTCTCAGATCCTCTTTTCTTTGACAAGCTGAAACTTTCTCGTTCCACTTCCATCCCTCTGAGACATTCCTAGGTCACAAGACCAGAGCCTGGAGGGAACTCTGAGAACGACCCTTTTCCTCCCCCTGGTATCTCAGCATGGGAAGCCAGACCCACTCACTCTGCGGGGAGGCACCAGGTGCGGGGGAAGATGTTGTATTCAGAGGGATAGAGTTTGTGCATGCGGTTGAGGTTCCGAGCCAGCAGATCTTTGCGGCAGATTTCTGTCATGCCAGGGAAGTGGTTGATTTTCTGAAACACAGCCAGTTAGTACGAGCCCCCAGAGTAAGTGGCAGTTCCTAGCACCTGGGCATCCCAGGAAGCAGTGGAGGAGGATTGGGAAGGTTAAGGGAGAAGTCACAGTGGAGGTAAGCACTGCATCGAGGACCCTAAGGGCAAAAATAGGAGGAAGATTCCTTAAGGCAGGTGAGAAAACCTTCTGTGACTCCTACCCAACACACACATCCACACTGAGCTCAGCAAATGAGGGGCAGTGAGAAAGGATGTACCTAGCCAAGACTGTGGCTTCCACAGTCCACCTTCTAACATCCCTCAGACCCCCAGGCCTCGTCCTCTAACAATAACTAATGCATGATAGCACAAAGCAGACAATGAGACAAAAGCATTTCCCAAAAGACACAAAAGAGAAAAGGAAACTAAGAACCAGCCCCAAGGAATGTGGTGCCATGGCACCCACAGAGGGTGTGGCATTGCTCTGGTGCCTGCCAGAAACCCCTGGCTGCTCTGTCCTGCCGGGTGGGTGGCAGCATCCGGGATGCCACCAAGCAAAGAACAAATAATGAAATAGGATGTGCCCACTAGACACTTCCTTCAGGTAATTCCAGAGACCCAGGAGGAGAATCTTTCCATTGGAAAAGAATACCCTGGGGGTGGTCTTTCCTGTCTGCACAGGGGGACAATCACAAAGAGTACACTGAGTGCTCTCTCACTGGCTTTCCCAATCACTGGCTGCACTCACTGTATGAACTTAGTATTTCTCACTCTCCATGTCCTAACCAAGGGATATCTGCTGCTCAGGGCTGTTCTTGAGGATTTAATGGGCTAATAATATAAAAGCATTTAACACAGGGTCTGTTGTACAGTAAGTCCTCAATGAATGCTGCTAATTATTGTTATCCTCATCCTGTTTTGTTTTTTTTTCTCCTTCCCTGAGACAGGGTCTCCCTCTGTCACCCAAGCTGGAATGCAGTGGTGTGATCTCAGCTCACTGCAGCCTCTGCCTCCCAGGTTCAAGAGATCCTCATGCCTCAGACTCCCAAATAGCTGGGACTAAAGTCATGCACCACCATACCTGGCTAATTTTTTTATTCTTTTTGTATTTTTGGTAGAGACTGGGTTTTGCCTGTTGCTGGTCTCAAAGTCCTGAGTTCAAGCAACCTGCCTGCTTTGGCTTCCCAAAGGGATTTTAGGCATGAGCCATTGTAAACCCAGGAATGCCTATCCTCAATTTTTACAATGGCCTCCTCCTTTGAACTTTTTTTTTTTTTTTTTTTTTTTTTTTTCGAAGACGGAGCTTGCTCTGTCCCCAGGCTCGGAGTGGCAGTGGCGCGATCGTCGGCTTCACTGCAAGCTCCGCCTTCCTGGTTTTTTACGCCCATTCTCCTGCGACTCAGCCTCCGCGCGTAGCCTGGGACTACAGGCAACCCTCCGCCGATCGCCCGCTGAGTTTTTTGTATTTTAGTAGAGACGGGTTTCACCGTGTTGCCAGGATGGTCCTCGATCTCCTGACCTTGTGATCCGCCACCTCGGCCTCCCCAAAGTGCTGGGATTACAGGCTTGAGCCACCCCGCGCCCCGGCGGAACTTTTTTTTTTTTTTTTTTGGGATGGAGTCTCGCTCTGTTGCCACGCTGGAGTGCAGTGACGCGCATTTGGCTCACTGCAATCTCCTCCTCCCCAGGTTCAAGCGATCCTCCTGCCTCAGCCTCCTAAGTAGCCGGGATTACAAGTGTGTACCACCATGCCTGGCTAATTTTTGTATTTTTAGTAGAGATGGGGTTTTACCATGTTGGTCAGGCTGGTCTTGAACTCCTGATCTCGTGATCTGCCTGCCTCGGCCTCCCAAAGTGTTAGGATTACAGGCATACGCCACCATGCCTGGCCTTGTTTTTTTATTTTTAAAACAGGGTCTCACTCTGTCACTCACCCAGGCTGGAGTGTAGTAGCATGATCTCTGCTCATTGCAACCTCCACCTTCTGGGTTCAAGCGAACTCCTGACCGGAAGTGATCCACCCGCCTTGGCCTCCCAAAGTGGTGAGATTACAGGTGTGAGCCACCACGCCCAACCTCCTTTGGAGCTTCTTGAGAACTTCTAGCACTTGCTTTCTCTCTTGGGCACCTCTCCCAAGACTAGTCGTGGGACAGGTTTTAATTTCCTCAACTTCCTGCCTGGCTTCCCCAAAGAATAAGCCTGCAGACCCTTTTAAATTATTTTATTGCTGATCACCACAAACACCCAATTAGAGGATAATAAAAATATCACAAGGCAGTTCTATTCTCGTGGACCCCAGTGGATCATTCCTGAATTTCTTGCCACCAGGAAGGACCCTGCAGTCTCCTAATGGATGTGGAATGTTAAGCTAAGTTGCTTAGAAGGCTGAATCATTCAACTGGCTCTGCTGTTAGCTCTGAAGCTGCCTCCCAGTATTCTCCCTAAGATGAGCTCACCCACCCTGGAGAGGGCCACCAAGCAAAGCACAAATAATGAGATAGGATGTGCCCACCAGACACTTCCTTCCGGTAATTCCAGAAACCCAAGATCTCCAAGAGGAGATCTTTCCACTGGAAAAGAAGACCCTGGGGGTGCTCTTTCCTGTCTGCACAAGGGGACAGCCACAAAGAGTAGCAGTCTTGGGTGCCTGGGCAAGGAGGTGGGAAAAGTCATTCTGGGGCCCTAGCCCCTGTAGGCTCTCAGGCCAGGAGATGGGTACCTGAAACCTCTTCATGTCCATGACTCGTTCCAGCGAGACAGAGCAGTCTGTCCAGTACAGAGTCCACTCTTCATCCTCCCCCACCTCCTTCAGGCCACACATTTGGGCTGCCCGACGCACTGCAGAGACAGGGAGATCAGTGGTGCCAGCGTGGACACCAGCAACTAGCCCTGGAACTGTGTAGCTGGGTCAGGTTAGGTATACACCTGACCTGAGGGCAGGTTGAAGAGGGAGGTAGTTCTCGCCTCAGCCCCGTACTTTAGTTACCACATGGCAATTTCAAGTTCTTAGGGGCTGTTAGGGCCCTTCCAAAATACCTAGCAGAGAAAACTAGAACCTGGTTTTGTTTGTTTGTTTTTTTGAGACAGAGTTTCTCCCTTGTTGCCCCGGCTGGAGTGCAATGGCGCGGTCTCTGCTCACTGCAACCTCCGCCTCCCAGGTTCAAGCGATTCTCATGCTTTAGCCTCCCCAATAGCTGGGACTACAGGAGCCCACTAACACGCCTGGGAAATTTTTGTATTTTTAGTAGAGATGGGGTTTCACCATGTTGGCCAGGCTGGTCTTGAACTCCTGACCTCTGGAGATTCGCCTGCCTTGGTATCCCAAAGTGTTGGGATTACAGGAGTAGGCCACCGTGCCCGGCTGCTTCTGTCAGTCTTATCCCTCAATCAGGGATGTTTGTGGCTTGGAGAGCCGCCTATAGGTAGGGGCCACACTGGCACTTCATACTCCACACTTGGGTGGCTCCTTATAAAGATGCCAGAGGGAATATTAGGGGAAGGACCTAGCTGGAGATTTTCTTTTTTTCTTAATTGTTGAAGTCCCTTCAAATCTTCCTTGAAAAAACTTTTAAGCTTGTCTCATCACTGGTAAAATCTGGGAAGGGTCTGGCATGGTGGCTCCTGCCTGTTATGCCAGGTCTTTAAGAAGCTGAAGTTGGAGGATCACTTGAGCTCAGGAGTTCAAGACCAGCCTGGGCAACATAGCAAGATTCTGTCTCTACAAAACATTTAAGAATTAGCTGGACAGGCTGGGCACGGTAGCTCACGCCTGTAAACCCAGCACTTTGGGAGGCCGAGGTGGGTGGATCACCTGAGGTCAGGAGTTCGAGACCATCCTGGCCAACATGGAGAAACCCCGTCTCTCCTAAAAGTACAAAATTAGCCAGGTGTGGTGGCACATGCCTGTAATCCCAGCTACTTGGGAGGCTGAGGCAGGAAAATCACTTGAACCTGGGAGGTGGAGGTTGCAGTGAGCCGAGATCACACCATAGCATTCCAGCCTGGGCAACAAGAGTGAAACTTGGTCTCAAAAATAAATAAATAAATAAAAAGAATTAGCTGAGCATAGTGGTGCAGGCCTGTAGGCCCAGCTAGTGGGAAGCTCAGGTAGGAAGATGGCTTTGAGCTCAGGAGTTCAAAGCTGCATTAAGCTATGATTGCAATACTGCACTCCAGCCTGGATGACAAAGCAAGACTCTGTCTCAAAAATAAATAAATAGAATCTGGGAAGGGTGGGCAGTGGTGAGTGGTGGCTCTTGGACTTTTTTTTTTTTTTCTTGTTTACTGTGAAGATACCCTCCCTAACACTGAGACTGCCTGGAACAGCAATGTCTCAGCTGCCAGTGTCTGAGGCAGAGGACACCTAGGAAGCTCAGTACAGGTTATAGGCAAGCCTGCCAGGCCCCAGGGGCTGGAAGCCTGATCGGGGATCTATTCCAGAGGAAGAGCAGCAGCTGTAGGCACCCTGTTATGCACCATAGTGTGAGCGACGGGCTGGGTGCTTACCACTCTCATACTTGCAGTTGGTCAGGTTGATGGCCAGGGATCTAGAATGGAGGAATAGCATAAATCAGGCAGAGTGGGAGGGAAGGACAGGCACCCAGACGAAGAGACATCCAACAAATTAACAACACAATTCCTTTTCTCTAGAAGCGGCTTAAAAGAAAGACCAGGACGATGTAAACAGGCTGGGATTCCAAAATGAATCAGCCTAAATAGTTCTGAATTTTGTTTGTGTTGTATCAAAGCGTTAATGATGCTCCAGCATTTCCTGTCCTCTTTTGTAGGCTAAAGGGAAGATCTTAGATCCCAGCTCCCCCAAATGTTGAAGGGAGGCCAATGGGTGACTCCCTGGAGCTGGGCAGTTGAGGGGATCTAGGGAATAGTTACCTGCGTTTCCGCCTTCTCTTCCTCCTCCCAGCTTCTAAGTTGCCTGTGTCAGCTGGGGCTATGACTTTCTTCGGAATTTTTGTGGCTATAATGGGTGAGGGAACCCCATTTTTTAATGCCTTATAGTCAGCTTTTAAGAGAGCCTGCTGTGAAGAGTTAGAGGGGATGGTAGCTTCCTCTTTAACACATTTCTCAGATTCCTTTTTCTCAACATAGTCTTCCTCTGATTCGCTGGTCCTACAGGTACTCGGCTCCATTCTCTCAGATTCTGAAGGGTTGGGAGGTGGGAATGAAGTGTATATCAGACCTCCCTCAGGCCCTAGAAGGCCTGAAGGAATCCACCAGAACGACCTTCATGCTGTTTTAAAGGAATGTTGCTGCCCCTTCAGGACAAAACAGTTTCACTGAGGAATGGGATGTGTCCAGGTAGGTGGAGGTGCATGGGAGTAGAAGATACCAGTGAGATGTGGATTCCCTGATGACAAGCCCCAATCATCCAGGATCACACTGGATCATGCAATGCACAGGGGTGCCTTCAGTAGTTGGACACAGATGGTACGGGCCATGACCATGGCTCTTTTGTACCTGATTGGGAAGGAGGATGGCTGGGAGTGCTGGGGGGACCTTCCCTTTAAAATACAGCTGAATCGGTCAGGCGCGGTGGCTCACGCCTGTAATCCCAGCACTTTGGTAGGCCGAGGTGGGTGGATCACGAGGTCAGGAGATGGAGACCATCCTGGCTAGCACGGTGAAACCCCATCTCTACTAAAAATGCAAAAAATTAGCTGGGTGTGGTGGCACGTGCCTGTAGTCCCAGCTACTCGGGAGGGTGAGGCAGGAGAATAGCTTGAACCCGGGAAGCAGAGGTTGCAGTGAGCTGAGATCGCACCACTGCACTCTAGCCTGGGCAACAGAGCGAGACCCCATCTCAAAAAATACAATACAATACAATACAATACAATACAATACAGAGCGAGACCCCATCTTAAAAAATACAATACAATACAATACAATACAATACAATACAATACAATACAATACAATACAATACAGCTGAAGGCCAGGTGCAGTAGGTCATGCCTGTAATCCCAGCACGTTGGGAAGCTAAGGCGGGTAGATCACTTGAGGTCAGGAGTTGGAGACCAGCCTGATCAACATGGCGAAACCCCTTCTCTCCTAAAAATACAAAAATTAGCTGGGCGTGGTGGTGTGTTGCCTGTAGTCCCAGCTACTCGGGAGGCTGAGGCAACAGAATCACTTGAATTTGGCAGGTGGAGGTTGCAGTGAGCCGAAATCACACCACTGCACTCCAGCCTGGGCCACAGAGCAAGAGTCTTTAAATAAATAAATAGATAAAATAAAATACAGCTGAAGACCAAAAGCCCCCTATGCTGGCCCTGTCCCAGGACTCATTTTCTGCACGTGTACACATTAGGGACAGGCACCCGATGGCTAAGACCCTTTGGGCTGTGACAGTGGAGACTGCCCACCCATGGTTCCGAGGAGAGCTGAGGGACTGCTCGGTCCGCCCCTAGCGGCCTGGGGCTGCACTCAGCTGGCCGCTCATGTCCCCTCTTCCCCCGGCTCCAGTTCTCCCTGGGCGTTTCTGGGCGTCTGGAACCGCCTCCTCGTTTCACAGGACTGGCTGTCCCCACGATCGCGAGGGGGAACCTCCTCCCCCGCAGGGGTTCACTCCTAGCTCCCGGCGGCCGTGGCGGCGGCAGCAGGGGCAGCGCTTCCTTAAGCAAGCCTGTGGCCACCGCCGTTGCCATGGACACGAGGGCACCTCCCATTGGAGAAGCGTTCTGGGGGCGGGGCCTCCCCGCAGCCACACCTATTTGGGCGCCGGCAGAGGCCACCTTGGGCGGGACGGGGGTAACAGCATTTGCCCTTTGGAGCTGGCCAGCCTCGAGGCCAGATTCCTCCGGTGCATCATGGGACTTGCAGCCCTCCTGCTTCGAAGCCAGTTCTCACCGCACTCCCATCTTTCCCTAAACCCCGGGCCAAGGAATTTGGCCAAGCATATGATCAGGACAAAGAGCTGTTTGCCTTCCCTCAATTCTTTTTTTTCTTTTTCTTTTCTTTTCTTTTTTTTTTTTTTTTTTGAGACGGGGTCTTGCTGTGTCACCCAGGCTGGAGTGCAGTGGAATGCACCATCATAGCTCACTGCAGCCTGGACCTCCTGGGCTCAAGCAATCCTCCTGCCTCAGCCTCCCCAGTAGCTGTGACTACAGGAGCGAGTCACCACACCGGGCTCAATTCTTTAATAACTCTAAGTTTAGCTAGTACAGCCTATGCATTCAAGAGTGACAGCCGGCCGGGCGCGGTGGCTCAAGCCTGTAATCCCAGAACTTTGGGAGGCCGAGACGGGCAGATCACGAGGTCAGGAGATCAAGACCATCCTGGCTAACACGGTGAAACCCCGTCTCTACTAAAAAATGCAAAAAACTAGCCGGGCGAGGTGGCGGGTGCCTGTAGTCCCAGCTGCTCGGGAGGCTGAGGCAAGAGAATGGCGTAAACCCGGGAGGCGGAGCTTGCAGTGCACTCCAGCCTGGGCGACAGAGCGAGATTCCCGTCTCAAAAAAAAGAAAAAAAAAAAAAAAGAGTGACAGCCATCTAAGGCCATGTGCCTTTCAAGGCTTTCCCTCTGGTGGACTGAGATAGCTCCATTAAGTAATAACAAAACCTCCTTATCACAGTGCTCCTTCACTGCCACCTTCTCTTCCTGACATCCACCCACTTTGATTTCTGCTCGCCACCTCTACCCAACTCAGCTCAACTTGTCACCCTAAAATTATACTGTGTGGCTAAATCTAGAGAACACTTAAAAATACATGAACTTTTAAAAAATTATTATTTTATTTTTTTGAGACAGAGTCTTGCTTTGTAGCCCAGGCTGGAGTGCAGTGGTGTGATCGCAGCTCACTGCAACTTTACTTAGCCTCCCAGGCTCAAGCAGTCATCCCACTTCAGCCTCCCAAGTAGCTGGGGCTACAGGTGCGCACCACCATGCCCGGCTAATTTTTGTATTTTTTGTAGAGACGGGGTTTTGCCATGTTGGCCAGGCTGATCTTGAACTCCTGGCCTCAAGTGACCTGCCCACCTTGGCTTCCCAAAGTGGTGGGATTACAGGCATGAACCACTGCGACCAGCCTAAAAAGGCATGGACATTCTCTAATTCATAGACTTTGTTTTTGTTATTGTCTATCAAGATAAACTATTTCTTTGCCCACATATTCATGTTTCATAGTTCAGGAACATAGGTTAATGATAAACTTCTATGTAATTCAACCCAAAGAAATTGTTTATATTCCAAAATTACTTTGAACTTTGAAAGATACCACCCTTCCTCATCTCCTCAAAATATTTCATAGAATCAGCCAGGCTGGGTGGCTGGCCCTGTAGTCCCAGCTACTAGGAAGGCTGAGGTGGGAGGATCTCTTGAGCATGGGAGTTAAGAGGATGCAGTGAGCTATGATTATGCCACTGCGCTCCAGCTTGGGTGACAGAGTGAGAACTCGTATTTAAAAAAACAAATATCTGGCCAGGTGCAGTGGCTCATGCCTGTAATCCCAGCACTTTGGGAGGCTGAGGCAGGTGGATCACGAGGTCAGGAGTTCGAGACCAGCCTGGCCAATATGGTGAAACCCCATCTCTACTAAAAATATAAAAATTAGCTGGGTGTGGTGGTGCGCGCCTGTAGTCCCAGCTATTCAGGAAGCCGAGGCAGGAGAATCGCTTGAACCCGGGACGCAGAGGTTGCAGTGAGCTGAGGTTGTGCCACTGCACTCCAGCCTGGATGACAGAGCAAGACTCTGTATCAAAAGAAGAAAAAAAAAAAAGGAAAGAAAGAAAGAAATGGTCCTCCTGGAAATGTTCTGCAGTCCCTTGACTTCCAGGACACTCATTGCATGAACAAACAATTTAGTGTTCTAGGGACTGTTCTAGGATCTGGACCATCATTTCTTGCCTGAATTGCCACCATTCAGCAATGTTTTTTTTTTTTTTTTTGAGACAGTCTCACTCTTGTCACCCAGGCTGGAGTGCAATGGTTCGTGCTTGGCTCACTGCAACCTCCGCCTCCAGGTTCAAGCGATTCTCCTGCCCCAGCCTCCTAAGTAGCTGGGATTACAGGTGTCTGCCACCATGCCTGGCTAATATTTGTATTTTTAGTAGAGACGGGGTTTCACCATGTTGGCCAGGCTGGTCTCGAACTCCTGACTTCAAGTGATTCTCCTGCCTTGGCTTCCCAAAATGCTAGGATTATAGGTGTGAGTGACTATGCCCGGCCAACCCAAGACTTCTTTTACTTGCTGTATAACAGTTAAGGGAGCTAAAAGGAAAATGGGATTTCACACCCACATACTCTCTTAGAATAGTGTCTACTGACTGGTTCCTCTGGAACCAGTGTGGAAATCTCTGGAGTAACAGGGCAGAATAAAGCAATGAGATAAAGAAAAAATTTCCCACATTGACTCAGATGCAGACAGAGGAACAACGACTTAGCCCTAGATTTTGTGTCTACATCAAGAGGAGCTTCTAAAGTGCTTGGGAAAGACCCCGAGAGGGATGGCTGGGGCTCAGGAAGGGCAAACTGTTAAGGACAGCACCACCTACCATGGGAACCAGTGACTGGAGAGGCGGTCACAAGCACACATTGTCCCAGCTCATCTTCTGGTACCTGTCTGTGCTGCAGTCCCGACTCCAGCTGTCTGACTTTGAACAAATTACAAACTGTCAGCCTCCATCCCCTTTTTTGAATGGGGGTATTAAGAAGACTCAGGCCGAATCGCTTGAACCTGGGAGGGAGAGGTTGCAGTGAGCTGAGATCGCGCCACCGCACTCTAGCCTGGACGACAGAGGGAAATGCAAACCTCGCTGGCGGCAAACAAACTCCATCTCTAGCCTCCCTACGTAGCTGGGACCACAGCAATGCGGCCACCCACACTGCACCATATCTGATTTCGTGAGAGAGCGGCTGGTCTTGAACTCCTGCCTCAAGATCCTCCCACCTCAGCCTCCCAAAGTGCTGAGATTACAGGCACAGAGCCATGCACCTGGCACTCTCTTTTTTTTTTTTTTTTTTTTTTTTTGAGATGGAGTG